CAAAAAAAATTAAATTTGTATGCAAAATTCTCCTAAATATAACTTAAATATGCGCAATTAATAATTCCTATATTTTACCATAAAAAATTTATAGGCAAAAATAAAAAATTTAAAAAAAAACCATAAAAAAAATAAAAATAATATACCCCCCCCCCCCCCCCCCGACAGTGTTAACACTTTATTAAAACTTATTTGGTGGCAATTTTTTTTATTTAAAAAAATGATATTCATGTTATATACTAAATTTTTTATATAGTCATTTTTGAGTTGATGATTTAAAAAAAAGAGAATTAATTCAGATTTTAAAAAAATTTCCAAATTTATTTTTAGAATGTAAAAATTGTATTAGCAATACAAATTAATCAAAGTAAAATAATAATTGGGATGATTATATGGTATTAGTGTTGTAATGAAATGTATATAAAAATGGTATGATTAAAAAAGATATCTTTGTAGTCTATATATCTATTTATAATATGTTAAAGTAGGATAAATAAAAAAAAAATATGCATAAAAACAAGACAAATACAATCAACTAAAATACTTTTGGTAAAAAATATAAAATATCAACATTTGTAATTAATCTTCAAAATCAATAACATTTGAGATTCAGAATTGTTAATATAAATGTTTTGGTCAAATTTTTTTATATTTCCATCATCATATTTAAATGGTGGATACATTTGACAGCAAAATGAAGCTCCATACCTAGCATACACCAATATCGGGATATTGAGAAGTGTGGCAACACTTCGTAATTCAATATCCGTTGCCCATTCACCATTCTTACTTGCCTTTTCTATTATATACTGTTGCACATCATCTTCACACGTATTTTGACCTTGAGTATAATCTAATATATTTTTTATCATTATTTTTTGCAGCATCAGCAAGACCATATGTGATCTAATCAAACCATAGGAGTCTTGTTTTCCTGTTATCTCCATACTTATACATCTAATTATTTTTTAAAAAATTTAATTATGTTACTGTTTCTAAAAACCTATCATGTTTTAAAAAAATAATATTATGAATTAATATAGGATATAATCATTAAAATTTAAGTTAAAGAAAGAAACAAAACCATATTCAATGTATATTAATAAAAAAAATACAACCAAAATTATTTTTAAATTACCGGTAAAAACAATTCCCATCTAGCTCAATTGTTTCCAATCGTGATGGAGCAGTTAGCACCCTTCCTATATTTTGAGAGACTTGCTTTTTTACTGACGCTAAATTTAATCGAGTAGCATGATATTTCCTCCAAATATTGGTAGTTGGATTATAAAAATGTTTAAATGTATGTTGAATGATTTTAACGAGTGAGTCATCTATGGCTTTAGATATTTAAAAAAATTAAATTAATCATGATATTTAAGAATTACAATTAACTGTATATAATTATAAAATTACAATTTTTGAACTAGTCTGAGTATACAAAGTCTACTAAGTCCACTTGAAGATCCTTCAAAAGGTGTAAAGAAGATTTTTTATAATCTAAAAAAGTTTAAAAATTTGTCTTTATCAACAATTTACCTTTGGTATCAACTATTTTTGGGTCAACAAAGTTTTGGGAATTAAGGTCTTGTTGAAATTTTAACTTTTTATCTATATGATTTTCTTTGGATTTGTATGCCTTTTCTATATAATATACTATTAACAATAAATAAAGTCAATGTACTTTTTTGTGAATCCAATATTGTAAATCCTAATGGTCTCCCGCTTTTATTTAATTTCTTAGGTAATTGAATTTCTTTTATGATATTATTTATACATTCATTTTTTTGACTATTATAAACATCTTTTTTTAAAAAAATTGGGACATTATTTTTATTTTACTGTATATTAGGATCCACGTTTGAGTGTGTAAGATCCTCATTTAATACATTTGCTATACTATCATTGGATAATATCTGACCATTATTTTCATTTGAGCTTGTATTAAAATTATTTGAGGAAATAATTGGTAATATGCCTTTCACAGCAAAATCATGTAGTTTGTCAAAAGCCTGAGCAAACCCATGTTTCAAATTAGGTGGCAATAATGATATGGTGTGAAAAAGCATATTTTAATTTTTAAAATAATTTTAGGATGAAATTTGGTCATTAAAAAGGGTTTTTTTGTATTTAATCCCCTTTTTGTTATTTAATATATCTATTTTAAAATTATTGATAAATGTCGAGGGATTTTTAAAATAATTTTTGTGCAACCTTTGATGACATAATTTTTCATCGTACAGATCACTATTATTTTTTTTCCTTTCCATAAATACATGTCTGCATGGTAATTGCATATTTAAAAAAAGGGGCAATCACAATAAAACATATTTGATTGGCAAACAAGATTGCAGTTATCACCAACATTATATTCATATTTTAACTCTTTGTATGCATATTCTATTAACAATTTTCTATAATTAGCCAATGTTTGATCTTCCTCATTTATAAATGAGATTTTAATTTTTTTCATTAAATTATCATGTTCCCTTTCAGCACTTAACATTTTAATTGACATAATTAAATCAGTAAACATATTTGGAAGGGTAGAGTATTTGGTTATGTTAATTTTTAAATATTTGTTAATGCTCTCTACCAGGGTTGCCATGTCATAATCGCTAAAAATTAAAATACCACTAAAAAAATAAAAATTAAAGACAACAAATAGTTATATAAAATACTTAATACAAATATAAATCTAAGGGTGAGAATATAATATATTTTAATATATATAATTCATAATAATATTATTAAACATGTGTTTTACAAATTTAATAATTGTTTTAAATAGCATTAAAAAATTTTATCAATAGTTAAAATACTTAATACAAATATATATCTTAAGGGAGAAATTATAATAAATTTTAGTGTATAATTACAAATTATATTATTAACAAGGCGTTTTACAAAAATATTTTAAATGGCAATAAAAGATTTTATCAATAGTTATATTCAATACTTAATAACAAATATATATTTTAAGGGGGATATTATAATAAATTTTAATATATAATTATAAATTATATTATTAACAAGGCGTTTTACAAAAATATTTTAAATGGCAATAAAAGATTTTATCAATAGTTATATTCAATACTTAATAACAAATATATATTTTAAGGGGGATATTATAATAAATTTTAATATATATATATAATATTATTAAGTATGCGTTTTATAAATTTTTAATTATTTTAAAAAGCATTAAAAAATTTTATCAATAGATAAAATACTTAATACAAATATATATCTTAAGGGAGAAATTTTAATAAATTTTAGTATATAATTATAAATTATATTATTAACAAGGCGTTTTACAAAAATATTTTAAATGGCAATAAAAGATTTTATCAATAGTTATATTCAATACTTAATAACAAATATATATTTTAAGGGGGATATTATAATAAATTTTAATATATATATATAATATTATTAAGTATGCGTTTTATAAATTTTTAATTATTTTAAAAAGCATTAAAAAATTTTATCAACAGTTAAAATACTTAATACAAATATATATCTTAAGGGAGAAATTATAATAAATTTTAGTATATAATTACAAATTATATTATTAACAAGGCGTTTTACAAAAATATTTTAAATGGCAATAAAAGATTTTATCAATAGTTATATTCAATACTTAATAACAAATATATATTTTAAGGGGGATATTATAATAAATTTTAATATATATATATAATATTATTAAGTATGCGTTTTATATATTTTTAATTTTAAAAAGCATAAAAAAATTTCATCAATAGATAAAATACTTAATACAAATATATATCTTAAGGGAGAAATTATAATAAATTTTAGTGTATAATTACAAATTATATTATTAACAAGGCGTTTTACAAAAATATTTTAAATGGCAATAAAAGATTTTATCAATAGTTATATTCAATACTTAATAACAAATATATATTTTAAGGGGGATATTATAATATATTTTAATATATATATATAATATTATTAAGTATGCGTTTTATAAATTTTTAATTATTTTAAAAAGCATTAAAAAAATTTATCAATAGTTAAAATACTTAATACAAATATATATCTTAAGGGAGAAATTTTAATAAATTTTAGTATATAATTACAAATTATATTATTAACAAGGCGTTTTACAAAAATATTTTAAATGGCAATAAAAGATTTTATCAATAGTTATATTCAATACTTAATAACAAATATATATTTTAAGGGGGATATTATAATAAATTTTAATATATATATATAATATTATTAAGTATGCGTTCTTTTTATTATTATTTTTACCTATTTAATTTATTGATACTCTTTTCAAAGAATTTATAAAGGATAACTTAAATTAATCTATCTCTACTACCATCTATCGATATTTTGTGAATATAAAGAATTTATTTTTTAGATAATAAATTCAATTAAAACTCCCATTATTTACAATGAATTAATTATTATGGCATTATGAGCTTGCTGAAATATCTAAACCTTAAATTACATTTAAAAGGATAGTTTATTTGGAAAACAATGTGTATGATTGTTTGCAATATATAGATTTGGTCGATGAATTGTATTATAATAATTCCATAATAAAAGTATTAATTTTTACAGCAATAAATTTTGTCTTATTTCATCTCAAGATTTAATAGATAACCCCAAAATATTTTTATCCTACCCCCATTAAGGCAGCCTACCACCCACCCCTTCAAAAAATAGGATGCAAACTGTTCCTACCTCTCCCGCTCATGTAGACGCTGTATATAGATTTATGATAGATATCTACATACAGTGAAAATCTTGTCATGTAAACAAAAAAAAAATAAAGTATCATTTCAAACACCAAGTATATTGGTCTTTTTTATCAATTTTATATTAAATTTTTTATTAACAATATATCTACAACTATTTTAAATTTAATAATATATATTTAATATGATTTTATTAAATCAGACACTTTATCAATAAAAAAAAATAAATTAGAAGTAATATCATATAATGCTGTTAAGTTTACAATTTTTTTATTAATTATCACATATTTTTTATTTTTCTCCGTAACTATTTCCCCGTTATTGATTTGTATAACTTTAAGTTGTCAGGCGTTGGTTATCTTTTAAAACGCGAATTAATGAATATATGTCCGGATGAGCATTTTTTGCCATTCGCTTGAGGGAATGGTGATATCCTTCAAGATGATTATTACTGCGAGGACCTTGAATCTTATACCTAACACCAAACAATGTATTAAATGTTAAAAATATTATAAACTTTTATATAAATTGTGAGGAATTAATAAAAATGAAATAATTACCTGGTCCAAATTTGATGAGGAAAGATTGCATCAGAATTTATCCAGGTAGTATCCATATATATTAAGAAACTTAATATTAACGGGTCATTGGCTGCTAGATCTACACAAGAATCACGGACCACTTGAATGTCCTCTCTCTTGCATAAAGGTAATACACTCATCCTTCGAACAATAGTGTATACAGCAGTCTCTTCTTTATACTGCTTGACTAAACCTAAATGCTGAACTTTACGCCAAATGGCCTGCGTAAAGTGGAAGAAGCAGCCTAAAAATAAATTATACAACTATATATAATTTAAACTTTACCCTTTACTAAAATATTGGGAAATACAAATTGTAGAGCAGATATCGCTCCTGCTTCATAGTCGGTTTGTGCCATTTCTGGTGAAAACTGGATACCATTCAATGTCCCATATTCCACGATTATTTGAAATAGCTCAATATAGGACTCCTTCCTTTTATCTGGAAGAAGTGCATATATGATAGGGATCATCGTTTGATTATACATGATATGTATAGTATATAATTGGCTAAAAAACGTGGACATGTGTAAAAAGTCCCATCCATATAAATGAATTTTGTATAAGAAGATAAACTGACTAACATGACAGACCCAAATACAATAAGTTTGTTATTATTGTTTTTAATTATGAAGCTATCACCACTGAATGTTGTTATCAATTCAGTGGTCAATACAATTGTGTCATTGCTAATGGGAATATTTGGCCTGGTTTGTTTTAAAACACGGTTAATCGTATTTTTAACGGAAATAAAAGGTGGTAAGGCTCCTGGATAATTGATTATATCTGGATCTTCAGAGCATTGTTGGTTTAATGCCTTTAGATAGATATTCATCCTTGTATCTAAAGGATTTTGTTGTACCGTTGCTTTTACTGTTTGCAAAGTTTTTAATTTGTGAAAAAGTATAGCATGATTTTGATGTTCGTGCATTTTGGATATTGTGTATCCCTGAATATATTTACACGTCACTTTACAATCAGCTTTTAAGCAACGATAGTAAATTGTATTCCTGTATGTACCGTTATAACGGTAAAGAAAATTTTGAAAAAAGAGCAATGATTTGCCCTTTTGGCTATCGATAAATGTCGGTTCCTCTAAATATAAGAAATTTTTTAGAAGTTTATATAGAAATTTACCAAAAATATGAATATTTTCATTAAAATCTATTAGAGATTCTGCAAATCCATAATTATCCATATTTTCTAAAAAATAATTGCCTATATATACAGGGTTGCCATGACTCCCCCCATCAGTGGGAGTCTCCCACAATTTTTCAGTTTACCCACATACATCTCACTCCCACAAAACTCCCACAATTAGAAATCTCCCACAAAAAGCTCCCACAATTTTTTAATTTCTCTCGCAATTTTTTTTTTAGCATTTTAATGTTTTTAATATAAATAATAATTTTGAGATACAGTATTTGATTATTTTTATATTTTTAAAATAAATTTTAAATATTTATTCGAAAAATATGTCTAGTTCTTTTATTTTATTTTTCCGCTCTAAAATGTATTTTTTATAAAATTCTCCAATTCTCCACTCGATATTTTCAAAATTTTTGTGTTAGAAAGAATTGAAGTTAGAATAGTATGTATAATTATTATAAATATATTTTAAATTACTTTTAGAAGTGGATATTATTCTAATCTCTAATTCTTTTAAATAAAGTTAGTGAATGAATAATATTGATTAAATAATATTTTTCACTACTTACTTTTATACTATTCCATAAAGTATATGTCAAGCAAAAGATTATAAATATAATTGATATATTATTCAACAATAGCTCAGTTATAACAAACGACAATCAATCAAATATTATCATTTAAAATATGCGTACCATCATGCAAAATGCATATGCACACCAAATAACGATTAATTATGATATAAATAAGGCTACACGACTTGAACGATTAGCAAAGCTAAAAATTTGATTGGTCAAAATTTGAAAAAAATGAAATCTCTTTCATAAACCTTACTTGCAAGATCTTGGACTGTATGCATCTATACAGCATTTATAAATGAATAAAAAACAGAAATAATACGTGATTCAGGATTCAATATCCCATATACCAAACAGATTTAAGTAATAAAATGTTCTATTTTGCTAATAATTTTATCTTACTGTAAAATTAAAATAATATATTAAGCACTAAACATTGATAAAATTTTCAGAATAAATGATTTCAAATGGCTGTTCTGGCCAAATTAATAGATATTTAATATAACTTTGCAAGAATATATTCCCAGGGTTTTTAAATAATTTTTTACGATATTTTAAATTTACAAAATTTCGATTTAAATCAATTTTTTGTTTTCATAAAAAAGATATTATTTTGGACAACACTAAATATAATCACATATGGTTTTTATGATTATCATGTCATCTTATACAAACATCCTTTTTTTAACACACATTTCTCATCATTTCATAATATTAAACGACTCCAAAATAAGTGCTAACTTTACTTCCGGTAGGACAAAAATGAGCAAGGCTATCACAAATGTGTTAGGAACTGAATCCAAGAGGTCAATTCTAGACGATTTGAAAGAAGGGCATCCATATGCTATTTTAACAGATGCATCAAATAAGGGAAATATTAAAACATTTCCCCTGATCCTTCGCTATTTCAACAAGAATAAGGGCATTTCTATAAAACTATCGAAATTTTTTTCATCCGATAGTGAAAAATCCAACGATATCGCTAACCACATAATGGTATATATAGCTGATTCAGGGTTATCAATGAGTTGCATGTCAGCTTTCTGCGCTGATAATGCCTCTGTTAATTTTGGCAAAAATCAAAGTGTATTTACCGAATTGAGGCAGCACAATAATGAATTAATACCAATTGGCTGTATATGCCATATATTGCATAATTCTCGCAAGAAGGCAATGAATGTACTATCTGTAGATGTCGAAGTAATTATGATGAAATGTTTTAACGAATTTAGTTCATCAACTAAAAGAGTCACTGAATTAAAAGAATTGGTGGAGTGGTCTGATTTGGAATGGTGTGAGTTGTTGCGATATGTACCTATCAGGTGGTTATCATTAATACCTGCCATCGAGAGAATTTTAAAATTTTACGAACCCTTAAAGAAATACTTCTTAAATAAAGATTTTAAAAGCTGTCCTAAAATTTTGAAAATTTTTTTCGAGGATGAAATGTCAGAAGCATATTTGGGATTAGTTTCACATGTAGGAAATCTACTTCATGTAGTTAATATTCAGTTGCAATCAGAAGATTCTTTATTGATAAAGATTCACAAAATCATGCTACAGCTCTGTTCATCTCTACAGTTAAAAATAGATAATAAATTTTATGGCGCTATTGCTAAAAATATAATATTAAAATGTTCAAATATTACTATAATTAACGTATTTTTAAATGAAGCAAATATTTTTATTAAGACAATTTTGGAATATTTACAATCAAGATTTGATTTTATAAACTCTATTTACAATTGTATAAATATTATGACCTTGGAACAGAAACCATCATTTGATGGTTTTTGTAATTTAATAAATATATTAAAATTACCGATAGACATTGAAGCCTTGTTTGAAGAGATTGTAATTTTTTCCATTTTTTATGATTCGCCAGAATACTTAAAGTTAGATGGTCTAAAAGCAGAGGAGAAATGGGTGGAATTTTTTTCGTAATAACGATAAATCCCCATGCTTAGAAAAAATTTTCGAGTATATTTTTTCCTTACCTCATTCTAATGCCACATCGGAGCGCATTTTTAGCCTGATGAGGACTGCCTGGAGAAAGGAGAGAAATCGAATTGCTTTAACAACATTAGAGGTCGAGTTAATGGTTAAACAAAATTATAAAATGTGATGCCAGGAATTTTATAAATATCTTAATAACGACGGAAAACGTTTAGTTCCATTATTTAAATCTCAAATAAAATATAATTAACTACTATTTGAATATTTTATAAAATCTTATTTATACATTTGTATAAAATCAAATAAATTTATTTTTTACATTGTAAAATTAATATTTTGAATATTTTGGCAAATCATAAAAATAAAGAAGCATTACAATCTCCTCAAACATGACATCATATTAAATCTTATTAATAATTATCCGATAATTATCTGATAATAGTAATAATATTCTTACTTTGGTATTTCTGCAGCATAATTTAGTGAACCTTTATGAAATTATATTCTTCTGATTGCAACTGCATATTAACAGCATATAGTAGATTTCCTATATGTAAAATTCCTAAATATACTTCTGCCATTTATTTTTCAAAATTTTTTTCAAAATATTAGGACAGCTTTTATAATCTATTTATTTTTTAAAGGTTTGTAAAATTTTAAAATTCTACGATGGCGCGTATTAGGAGGAACCTGTCAACCAACATTATGCTGACTCAATTCTGTAAATACACTCTGGTTTTTGCCAAATTCACTGAGGAATTATCAGATCAGAAAGCTGCCATGCAATTTATTGGTAATGCTAAATCTGCCATATTTACCATTATATATGGTTAGCTATGTCTTTGGATATTTCATATCTGGAGAAAAATTTTTTAATAGTTTTATTGAAATGACATTAATTTTGTTGAAATAGGGGAGGATGAAGGGAAATGTTTTGATATCTCCTTATTAGATGCATCTGTTAGAATTGCATATGTTTGCACATCTTTCAAATCGTCAAGAATTGACCTTCTGGATTTATATCCTAAAACATTGATGTTAGCCTTGCTCATTTGTGTTCTACAAAGTATACTTTTCATTTATATTAGTCGTTAAATATTATGGGGAAAGATTCAACCAACATTGTGATGTTAAGTAGCTCTCTGAATGTTGTACTGCATGATAGGTATTTACCATTTCCACAACTGTAATTGCATCTGTATTATTTCTTATTTTTGAAGAATATTTTTGTTTTGCAATAGATGTTGATAGACTGCCCTGTACTTTATGCTTTGAAGATTTTTGATGCCTCAAAATATCATTCCTTTCCCCCATTGTATTAACTAAATACTGTAGAACAACTTCCCCGCACTGATTATAATTATTTTTTACATTGTAAATTTAAAATTGTTTGTTTTTTTATAAAATCTAAATCGAACGCGTTCGCGTTCAACGTTCATTGACAAAAATCGAACGCGTTCACGTTCAAATTCAAAAAAAGGAACGCGTTCAAGTTCGTGAACGCGTTCATGCGTTCAAGTTCGTGAACGCGTTCATGCGTTCAAAATTTTATGATAAATTTTTTTTTAAATTTAATATAAATAAATGCCTTATATTTTTCAACCCAATATATTAGCCATGATAAAAAATAATAGTTTTATTTTGATAATATAATTATAAATACAATATAATAGAGCGATAAAAAAATAAATTTATAAAAAATTTTTCTTATTAATTTTTAATAATAATTGCTTTTCAAAATTTTCATCTGATAGGCATGAACGCTTGGCACTTAATACAGCGTT